GTTAAGCCGGGGGTTATGAGAGTTAAATCTCATGAGAGTCATGAGATTGAACTCTCTTGGCTACAGTATGTACCCAGATGCCTGGAACAAAATGGCTTCATTAGCTGCGCCTTAGTTGGCGTAAGTAAAATTCTGTTTGATAAACCGTTAAAGGTGAATACAATCAATAATTTCCTCACACTTAACAGCAGTTAGAACGCAATCTTTCTTATGGTTATTTGAATGTTTTGGTTGAATATGATAAAATAAAGATTAAATAAATTGTAATAAATTGAATAATTTTAACTGTAGCAGTATTGAATAGACATTAGGGCCAGAAACAGAGGATCTTAAGACCCGTTAAGACCAGCAATAACAAATGGAATTTTCAAACAATCTCTGTGTTCAACTTATAAAAATATCTAGCTTTCGTCTTAGTTTCGTCTTAGTTCTGCGAAAAAAAATACCATTTTTCTAAAATATCGTAAAATAAATATATTTATAAGGAATGTAAAGTTGCTGAACGTAAACTGAAATAAAATTATCATTCATCTGTAGATATGTTGTTTTGAAGTATGATTCGATAGTAGAAACTGAAATAAAGCATAATTATTTTCAAAACAAAATTATTTAAGGAAAAGAAAGAAAGTAATCGTAAAATTTTTTAGCCATATATCTTTTAACTGTGTAAATGAGAAAATATTCTAATTGATAAACTCCATGATTATTAAATATAGATATTTAAAAAAAAAGATAAAAAAATGCTTAAAAATTGCAAATTAACTCTATCGTGTAGAATGCACATGAATGCTTTCTAATTCAAATATATTATTTTTCCTATAATTCAGCAAAGTAATAAAATAATTCTTAAAATTACTTCTTACATGTAATAAATTTTGAATTAAATAAAGCTTGTGAGCAAAAGCTTAGATTTGCTTAAATATTTCTTGAAATATGGAAGCATTTCATACTATATTATAACACTGATTGTGATGAAATTCTTTAGAAATGCTTTGAGCATCTCTGATTAACTTTTAAAGCTAATCAGAAGAGAACAAATATGTTAATAAACTTTGCAAAGATGCATAATTTTTATTAGGTGGCTTAGATCGTAGAACTTTTATTATGAATCATTCCCGTTTTTCTCCAATCGTTGTTGAAAAGAAATTTTTCTTAGATGATCACATGACTTTTATTAAGAATCATTTCTGTAAATCATCTCTGTTTTCTGCAATTTTAGTTGAATAGGAATTTTTATTAGTTAATAATATGACTTTTATTGGGAATCATTCCTGTTTGTTTTCAATTATAGTTGAAAATAAATTTTCATTAGGTGATCGTATGACTTTTATTGGGAATCATTCCTGTTTTTCTGCAGTTATAGTTGGAAATAAATTTTCATTATGTGATCATATGACTTTTATTAGGAATCATTCCTGTTTTTCTGCAATTATAATTGAAAATAAGTTTTCATTAAGTGATCGTATGACATTTATTGGAAAGCGTTCCTGTTTGCTTTCAACTATAGTTGAAAATGAAATCTCTCTAAGTGATCGCATGACGTTTATTATTAACCATTCCTGGGAATAATCCCTGTTTTTCTGCAATTAAAGTTCTACCTAAGACGAATATGTTTGGTGATCAAAAAATTCATTAACATTATGGCTTTTATTCCTTAAAGCTCATTTCATATCTTTTTAAATTAAATTTTGAACTAGAATAAACAAACTAAAAATACTTATAGTAAGACTTTTGATGTTTCCCAGAAAGTTGAAATTTAACATGGAGGTTTGAAATACGTTCGTTACTTTCTTAAATAGAATTCTCATGAACATTTGAAAGAAAATTAGCATTATTCACCTGTGATAATGGCATTAAGATATTTTACGTACGTGCATTATCCACATTCTTGTAGTTATCACTGATGAGGAACTGTACACAAACTTGGTTCTCTTCCCACAATATTAAAGTAAATAATTGGCATATACTCTCTCATTTGCTTCAGGATACTAAGCTTCTAGTAAATTTTTAGTTTTAATCATATAATCTTTATTTCATACATAAATTCTTCATTGTTTCTCTTATTTGCATTCATTAAAGCTAAGTTTTCTTTAATTATTCGTATAACCGTACATTCTATTTACGCATATATCTATTTAGCTGGTGTTTTAAGTAAAAACCTATGTCATTACTTAATTTTTGAAAAAACAAAATTTTCAATTCAGGCAGCATAATTTAATTTATCTCGTGATAAGTCAATTTAAAAATATGCATGCGTATCAAAGCAGCATTGTTAAAGATATATTTTAAAATGTTCCAACGCTTTTCTTGAATTTTAAACAAACGTGAATTTGTAAACATATATAAATTAAATGAGAAGATGTTGAAGCTAAACTATTTCCGATACCACATTTATGTAAACTTTTTGATTAAATATCATTGAGTTACTGGAGCATAGTACAATAAAAAGAATAAATTAGTATATTTTCAGAAGTTAATCATATACATTTAATTTATCACTAAAACTTGTTGAAATTATTTATATTTTTTAAATTCACTAAAATAAAGACGCATAAGAATATGTATACCTTTTATAAAATATAGGAAGTAAAACAGATTTATTTAAAAGATATATCGTACTTAGGCTATAAATATATAAATTTATGAGTTATCTTTTACCTCATTTATCGTAGTTATCTAGGACTACTTGTCAGATTCAGATAAAAAGAATTTTTCCCTAGAAATCTGTAGCAAAGATTTTTGGTTTTGACCAAGAATAATTGAATTTCGAATTGATAAATGTATATAATACGTATAGAGTGCAATTCTTCTTTGAGTTCCATTCTAGTGAAATAAAAATATTTCTTTTTTTATAAACGTAGCTATATCATAGCTATATCTTCTCTGTATTCCTAATATATANATAAATCCAGAAGAATGCCCATTTGTAATTTATTAAAATGATGTTATCGATTTGAATTAATTTTTTTGTATGAATTAAGCATTAAGCAACTGAAAGCTTAAATCAGAATGCTGCAAATTTAATAATAATTCAAGCTAAATGTAAAAAACAGAAATCATTAGAAACAAAATACATATATATATATATAAAGTAACCTGCGGACAAAGACAAAAATTGAATGATGAAAGGAATTTATGAGAACCATATTTTATTACTTATTTAGATTTATTTCGAAAAAATAAAACAATATCATGCGATTGTCATATTTATCTATATAGCATGCGCCGCAATGGAATCTTGTGGGAAATCGACATCTTTTCCAAGATTAAAAGGTCATAAATAGGAGAGGAACAAATTTAGTTTCCGGTGAAGTTTTAAATTAAAAGCAGCAGGTAACCCATCGTCTGAGAGACCGGCAATAAAATACTTACTTCATATCTTATGCATAAACTGATAATACAAGCTTAGAAATGTTCCACTTAGAAATGTTCAAATGATCCATTTCGAATAAAATTTAATTTTAATGAGTTAGTTTTTCAAAAATTATTTGTCAATATGTATTAAACATTCCGGCAACGTGACGAAATTTTGCTTCATGGCAAGATATGATGGCAAAATTTGTTATAATACCTAATCACGCAGACATAAATTCTGCGTAATTTTATTTCACTCAGAAAAATAATTTCCTGCTATATTTATTTCAGAAAAACGGAATTCTGCGAAACACAATTCCACGGAGACTCGTGCCAAAAACCTCTTAATATTTTGCGTATAAGTATACGTATATCTATTCAGATTTCTTACAATATTCAGCAATGCAGAACTTTTTGATTATGTGAGAATTTTAAACAAAGAGATATTCTCTTAAAAACAATGCCCATTTAAAAATATTTATCCATTTTCCTTTCATTCTCCATTTTTGTTCCATTTCTCAATCTCCAATTGCCAGGTAAAAGTGTTCTTTAAATTTGGTCTTGCATGTCTTTTTCTCACTTTTTATTAGTCGCTAAATTTTGCCCTAGAATCACGATTGTAGAATCTAATTTAAGTACGGTTACTGGTCAGGTCTACAACAATAAAATTCAATGATTTTAGGGAAAATAATTTTAAAATTATATTCTTTAATATTTTATAAGGAAACAGAGGCATTTCAGAATTTGAAAAGAGTATTTTATAATTTAAATACCAAGGAAAAATAAAACTATATTAAATATTTTTTTTATCTAATAATTTGTAGTTAAAACAAATAAGAAATAGAATAAGTAAAAATTAGTGAATGTGTGCCGTGACGAGACCCGTCTTTATCCTGTAAAAATATAACTAAGCAACGAGCGTTATATTATTATATATTATAATGCACTAATGATAAAAACGTATTTTAAACACACTTAAAACTATAAGATATTATTTTAACTGCATAGATATTTCGTCTAGAGCAGTAATTTATAAAAAAATTCTGATTTGCAATCTAAATACTAATGTAGTTTATATAATTGTTAAAATAAGTAGGTTATTAAGTAGGTTATTAGGAATAAAAAACTCTGCTTTTCTTGGAAATTTTTCATTGAAATATTTTTTTAGAGCGAAATTTTACATAAAAATCTCAAATGTGTCTGAACAAATATACTTACCTGGGTAGAGAGGTAATATGCATGAAGAAATTTGTCATGAGCGTTTAACTGGTTAGAGATACGTTTAGAAAGTAACGTAACTCTAACCAGTTAAACATGTTTAACCAGCTGGTGATTTTGAAAAACAACAATCATTGTAGAACTAAATTGAACGAATTGACGTTTCAAAAACAGATGCTTTTGGTACGTATTCTAACAGAATCAATTTAGTTTACAGGTGTTTTGGAAATATCGAGTTTATATAAAGATAAATTAGATTTTGGTACTGTCAAAATAAATGGCATAATATATTGTCATTATGTAAATCAAATGACATTTTGTAACATGAAACATATGGATTTTAATGATCTTGTAGAGTCAAAACGAATGTTTTGTGAAACTTTTATCAACAGATGCCCTAATGATCGACATATATATATATATATATATATATATATACAGATATACTGCCTTATACTTTTATCAGATACTATTTTCCGAGTTTCGTATACAATTCCCTGAAATTTAGCTACTCAAAATGCTTCCAAATGATTCGGCGATTACTTCTTTTCGAATGAAAAGAAATAGTGTTAAGGAGTCCGAAAACGAAATGACTGGTATCAAGACTAAGACAGGTTTTTGCAAAAACTTTGAATTCGGTTCGAAAGTTAGTGGCCTCTTAGCCGACGTTATGGGAGACATGCCGGATCCCAGAAAATCAGGAGCTCTTTTGGCCGTGATTAGTCATATTGGACAAGCTGGTATAAATGTCACGTCTACAGCTCTAGAATGTGATGATTCTAAATTTGAAGACATCAAAATACTGATGAAAAAACGATTTAATACAATAGATAAGAAATTTGAAATACATGCAGAAGCTTTAGAAGATGTTTCTCATAAAGTAAGTGATCTGTTATATAAATTTGATAGTTACCAGATGTTCCGCGGGCAAAAAATAGTGACATCTGAAGTAATAGGTAATAAAGAGATTAAGTCAATTATAAATAATATAAATATTTTCAATAAGTACTACGAAGAAGCTAGAGAAGAACTTAACGGATATGGCAAAGATGAGTACTTCGAGGAATTAAGCAAAGAAAAAAGCATTTTGAATACATTAGAAAACTATTCGGATTCTAGAAACAGTTTGTATTCAGCTTTGTACGAGCTTATAGATAGGAGCGACAACTACGCGATTCCCGATGATGCTACAGATGATAACGCTTTCCTGGTATTGTATGCTCTGTTTCATGGCACACAGACTTATTTTGCTGTTAAAGTTCTTCTTATAAAGCAACGTGCTTATCTTGCAAACTACTATTACGAACTGGGGGATTTCGAAGGTTTCAACACACAGCTTCGAGCTATAAAGTCCTTGACAACAAAGTTTAAAGACTCCCTTTTCACCGATGTTATAAGTATAATAAATCAAGTAAAGAACAAAAGTTTCATAAATGATGTGAAAAACGAATGGTACAGAGGCATTTCCGATACTATTCTGCTTGATCTGAAGGAAAGTGTGGAAGAGATTGATTTAAACATGATCGATCATGATAAGGAAATAGTTGAAGTAAAATCCATCAACTTCTCACAGTCTGATATAACTTCCAAATATGGCGACTGGAAAGACAAGTCAACAGTAAGTTATGCGGTGCAGTTAAGAAATAAGAACAAGTACTCAAAATTCAGTCGTTGGTCTGAGGCAGAAGAAATTGGAGATAAAGCTAACCCCATGATTACAGTTCCTCAAGATAAACAAGGAAGAGAGAGACTTATATTCCGAAAGTTTGATAAGGGCTCCATCCAGTTTGTTGGTGTCCTAATGGGCTTAGAAACAAGCTTTAGAGACATAAATAGAGATCTCTATAATGCTGTTGGAAGGGGGGATCAAGATTTGGCCTATAACCAAACTAAACTACTTATTGAAAACGGAGCTAATATTACCGCATTGTTTGAGCATAAACGAAACATGATACACGCTGCTTCTTCAGCTGGTAATGATAGAGTTGCAGCTGATTTTCTATTCGGTGAGCTCGATGTTAATTCTAAGGACAAAATGGGATACACTCCCCTCCATTTAGCAGCTGAATCAAATCAAAAAGTGTTTATACGTGAGCTAATTAAACAGAACGCTAATGTAAACGTACAAGCTGGAGTGGAAAAGTTAACTCCTTTGCATGTTGCTGCTAAAAATGGATACTTGGAGTCGGTGAAAGAATTAATGAAATCTAAAGACCTATCAATTGACGCAGTGGACAAAAATGGATTCACAGCTTTGCATCATGCTATACATAAGAAAGATAATTCTAGAATTCTTCACGCTTTAATGAGTAACACTGATATAAACGTCAACATCAAAACAAAATTAGGCTTAGCTCCTTTACATTTAGCTGCTATAAATGGTTTTTCCAAAGTAATAGATGCGTTAGTTACTAGTACCAAGTTAGAGAATATTAACGAAACCAATGATGACGGTGCAAATGCCTTGCATTTTGCGGCCATGGCTGGAAACTATTTTGCTGTAAAAAAACTGCTTTCAATGGATAACATTGGAATCAATCAAGTCACTTTCAAAAATAAATTGACGCCTCTGCATTTTGCTATCTATTTCAAGAATGGAAATGTAGCGTCTCAATTACTGAAAGATCCCAGAATTGATATAAATTTAGTTGGTCGGGGAAACATCACTCATTTACACCTAGCTGTTGCCTCTGGAGATTTACAAACAACTTCTATCTTACTAAGCAAAGGAGCAGATAAGGAAGCAAAAATCGAAGATAGCGGTTACACCGCTGTCCATCTTGCTATGTTGCGCAGTAAGCCAGATGCTTTACTTTTTTTAATCAATAATAATGCAAATTTAAATGCTCAGTCAAACGATGGTTCCACTGCTCTACATTTAGCCTGTAAACATCGAAAAATGGAATTCCTTGACGTGCTGCTCGAAGCAAATGTCGATGCAAAACTTACCGATAAAAACGGTTATTTAGCCATTCAAATCTCAATCGAGAATATGGATTTAAATTTTGTGCGAGCTATTGTAGAAAAAAATCTCAATATAGTAGATGAGGAAACAAAGGAAGGCAGGTACGTCAAGGCATTGGCACACGAAAAAAGTTTTCGCGTTATGTATCACTACCTTAAAAACAGGGATTCACCAGAGTATGATAAATATTACGGATTAGAACCAGTTGAAGTCTTCAGAAAGCTAGGCGTACACGATCTTTTTGATATTATATTGAATCCTAGCAACGATCCAGAACAAAATAGAGAAGAATCGGTCAGATATATTTATGAAAATATTGTTTTGCCATGCATGAAGAAGGAAAAGAAAGGCACTCCTTGTGAGCTTGGCAATCCTATGAATAGCCGTCTGGAACGTAGTATTGAATTACATGATACCAATCTATTTCCAAAGTTTTCCGCTAATTTTTTGCCAGAAAAAGGTTTTGCTTCACATTCATTGGAATCATCAAGTAATAAAAATTCCTTTTCAAGCTCAGCAAGCAATGTTTTGCAAAATGCAAATGCTAATAGCGTATTGCTTTTGATAGATCTCTTGGTAAGGAAATTCGCAAATAAAAAACACACTTCACCTGCCAGGAGAGAAATATCTAGTTCAGATTCTCGAGCCAAAGTGTTGATATTGATTGAAAAATTCGAAAAGCTTATCGATTCAATGAGTCCAAGTCCCGCAAAGGAATTAATAAACTTATCGGAAGTCAGCTCAAAAGTTTATAAGGCACTAGAAAATGAAAATTATAGTCAAATTGAGGACATTTTACGCTTCTACATTAAAGAATTTTTGAAACCTGATGAAGTTTCAGCTTTGATATCAAAATTAAATCTAGATGAATAAAAGTCTATAAAGAAGTTAATTGGGAGCAAACTGCTGAAAAATATTATTATGCTTGTCCAATTTACTTTAGAGCTGGTTTCAAAATTTGAACTTCAAAAATATTACATTACTTCAGTTACCTTCTAGTTTTACTAGCATGTGTAATATCAGCAATAAATAGTTCTATATGCAAGTATTTTATATGAATACTCTTAGCTGTAAGAAATTTGTAAAACTTAATATCAATTAATTGGATCCTAGCAAATAATTTTTTACCATTTTGTTTTAAAAAAATCTTTTACTTCATTTTAATATCCTAAAGTGTTCCTTCTTTATTTAATTTTAAAGAAATCTGAAAATTTTTAATATTACGTTTATTTTGATATCAATATTAACAAAATATTTTATAATTTTTAAATTTTAATAAATTTCATTTTTATTATTTTTATAGAAAAATATTAATTTAACAATTAGATGGAAAATATTAACATGATAAAGTTAATTAACATGAATATGAAATTATTAACATAAAAAATAATATTTAATAAATCATTAAAAAAGATAATTTAAATATTACTTTATAACAAATTTAATTTTTAAATAGTGATACGAATGCGTATTAATATTATGCATTAATATGCATTTATTAATTATTAGTTTAATTTTATTTCACTGTTCACGCACAGAACAAAGTATGAAAAAATAGTTGCATTACCTATGTATATTATTTTAAAAAGTTGACATAACAATAGGGGTCATTAATCTAACAATTTCATTTTTTCAGTATTGGAAATATAATTTAAGAATTTTTGTTACCAGTAAAGATATGGTGGATGCTTCAGTTTAAATTCTTTTTTTATGTTAAAAAAGAATACTAGAACGCAATATTTAATTTTGAAAATTTACTTATTTAAAATATTTTTCTGATTGTTATTGCCCAGAAATTCTGTATTTCTAAAACAAAGCTTCTTCCTTTCCAAATTTTATAAATATACATGTTTGAATACATGTTTGAAGGACGGCAATATTTTTGGATATCGAGATCTGATAATTTCTAATAGGAATCTGGAAAATGAATTTGAATATGGTTGATGTGAGATTTTTTCAATGTGAAAGCTACGGAACAAGTCTCAGTGAAATTATGTAAAATATATATTATGTGTTATTTAAATTATTTCCTACTTTGAAATATTTATTAATTTTAAATTTTAATGCTTGTTTTCTTTAAATATTATAAATTTTGTTTAATATATATTCCTTAATTTACGTCATTGTAATTCCCCATTGTAACCAAATTGGTATGAAAAATTATTCTTGTCATAATTTTAATATATTTGAGTATTTATTATATTGTATAAATAATGTATCAATAGTAAATTAAATTATGAATGACTCGAACATCTTTTTGCAGTTTTCTTTTATATTGCTTAACAACATTGCTTTTATGCAAATAAAATACCTTTATTAATGATTTCTTTTTTAGAACTTTCAGTTATATAGCTTTCTCAACTAAATACACATTTTGTAGTATAAGAAATATAAAAAAAACCCTATTAAATTATTTTCATTTCGCAAACAATACTTATCTTATGTTGTCTTAATATCTAATGTTGTTTCTTGTTCTGCCATTGTATTTCCCGTACACATTTCTATGCACCTTAATAATTTAAATCTTCTAAGTCATACTTTCTCTGCGTAAAAACTGCAACATTGAGTTGTACATCTGATACTGAAGTGGCAGTTTTTTTACGAAATTTTAACTTTAAGAGATACTAAAAATTGACTAGTACTTTAAATTTACAAGTACTAAAAAAATTATTATCAATTTAAATCAGACAAAATATAATAGTATAATTATTATTTATAATTGTTTATCTAGATCTATTTAGACATTGATATGAAATTTACACGTAAAGTGATCAAAAAATAAATAAATAAATAAAATGGAACTTTTGATCCAATAATCGGATTTCCAAGTTCTCTTGACCAAATAATTGGGGTCATACTTTCCTCACATATCAGTTTCCCCTCATATTTTGAAGGTCAAAAATGCAAATCCGTCGAAAAAAATGCTCTGTTCATGCAGAGACAATAGAATTTTTTTGTCTGATTGCGTAACTTAAAATAATTATCACTAATTAGTTAGCGTATTTGTAGTCATCCCGGCGACCATTAAGTTTAAGTCTTGTTACGAGAAAATTCAACCATTAGATCAAAGGTTATGCACAATGTTCTATTTTTTTACTAAACATAGTACTTTTAATATGAACTAATTTTCAAAATATAAAGTTTAGTAAAACCCTTAAATTTTATTCTAAATTCTTGTATCCCCTGAAATTCGCTTGTTTATACTAAATAAGTTTTTTTTCACACAAAAAGGGCAATTATACTGACGGCAATAAAAGGCTTATTTTTTAGTTCTACTAACTGAATCCGAACAATACTTAAATGATATTTGTTATTGTATTTATATGGAACCAGGAACTACATATCATGGGACGAGGTTTCAGTCGAGAAAATCAAAATATTTACCTATAGATGGCGCTACATTTTTTAAACTCTATCAAATGCATATTGTTTTAACAGCAATATTGTAGAATATAGTCAGTCATAGATGTGTATATGGCTGAGTGTAATAAATACACGCAAACATATGCATATTGTTGACCGACAAGTTACGCCCACAGAGGGAGCAAGTTGTAACTAAATAAAATATCCTGATATTGTTTGAATTTTTAAGTCGTTTTCTTTCTATAGCAATGAAATCGTGCCATTTGTTGGAAAAAGTCTCAACTATTATTTTAACATGAAATGACGACCCAGGGATTTAAAGAACAGTTATTTGGAGTTTCATTTAAATCTATTTATTAAGACCGGAGCTACAAGCCTCAAGGACCTAAAAATTAATTTTAATCATACTGTATTTCTCGATATTTATAGAAATGTTCGGACATTATGACGTCCATTTTTATTTATGAATCAGTTTTAAATGATTCTCTCATTAAGAAATATCATTACTTCCTCACAAAATATTCAACTTAGGTAAATGTTAAATATGCAGCGGATTTCAATTGTTTTTCAAATAACTGTATAATAGCACCATTTGTTTGCAAAAATCCGAACTATTAATTTTGCTAGGAAATCGGTCTTAACAAGAATTATTTGAAGCTTCATTCGAATGTGTTCAGTAAAGCCGAAGCTACAAGTCTCTGCGTGTCTAGAGATTAATTTTAACCAGTTTGTACTTCTTGACATTCAGGGAAATTTTCAGAAATTATAACGTCCTTATTTGAATGATGAATCAGTTTTAAATTATTTCCTCGCTAAGATCATGTAATTAATTATTCACAAGAAAGCAAACTTACGTTAACGTTCAACATGCTGAGGGCTTCACCTGTTTTGGATTAAATAAGATTTATTTTAAAAATTTCTTCAACAATTATTGACATCAATGGACAATTTTAGAAATAGTTACTTCTATATTGTTTTATGAAACCATTCTCAAATGAATATTACTGTTCAAAAATTCACATAAGTAAACTTTTCACTCTTCCCAATACTTTGGATTAACATATTTTGAACTGAGTAAGTTATTTTTTAACTTTTATTTTGCATTTACTCCATATTTTTTCAACCCTTGTCGCAGAAAGCTATTTTGAACTCCAGAACCATTGGAGCTAGGGTTCTGAAATGTGGATAGCTAATACGAGAAGTAATTTTAGCTTCCAAACCAAACATCATTTAAAAATTGTAATTATTTTGTTCAGGAATGTTTGAAAAAAGTTTTTTTTCCTCGTAAGTTCGAAAGTTGGACGTAGTTATAAATAAATATCCAAACAGTTCTGTTTAAAATATTATTTCTCGTTTTTTAATGTTCAATTATTTGTTTATAAGTTAAGTCATCATTAAGCATGGCATGCGGATTCAAGCTACGTCACCAAATTAGCATTTTTAGAGTGATCTGAAACCACGTGTTTCTTTTGTTTATAGTTGTGTTTTTAAAACATGTTTTTGGGAAATAAATAATGTGCTACTATTTTAAAGACTTGATGAATCCTAATACAAAAAATTATGAAAAAAAATAATTTTTTAAAAAAAAGCAACAACTCTATAGGTCTGCAGAAAAAAGTATTAAATGATATATTGCGTGTAACTTATAAAAATTGAGCTTAAATAGTCTCGGAATATTTCCCTGGTATTATGCTCATTTTATATAAAGTTTATCTTAATATGTGTTGTGAGAATTACCAATATTTTTTAAAGAATGCAGACTATCAGTCAGTGGTTTATCAGGTGCTATTATTGCTATTCACTAAATGAAAAGTCAGTGGTTATTTTAGTGATATTACAGTTTTTCAATTCATGAAAAGTCGTTGGTTTTTTTGGAATTATTGTTATTCGAAAACCACTGAATTTTAATCTGCTTCGAAATTTATGCAACTCATTTTAAGATAAACTTTATATAAAGTAAACGTAATACCAGTAAAATTAGCTGAAGTTAGGCAAACTCGATCTTTAAAAGATGCACACAATATCTTATTTATTACTTTTGCTTGTAAGTTGAGAAATTTCTTTTTATAAATATTTTAAATTATTTTATTAAACTTTTTCTTAACAGAAATAAAACTTTTCAGGAATAATTACGCCTATATTTCAACTAGGAAAACTTTTTTAAATAAATTCTGACTCGCAAAAAATTTACTATGAAATTAAAAATGTTCTAATTATGCCCCTTATTTAGGATGATAGCAAAATATGAATGATAGCGAAATGATAAATTATAGCATTTTTTCATTTAATTTGAAAATAAACAAAAGAACCAATAATAATTTAGCAAGTTTTTTGTGTTTAAAATAGTAGTTTGAAACATCTCAGGTGTGGAAATCAAAAAATTTTCTCTACAACTGTAAAAGCTCCATTTGAATGGGGGGAAAATTAAACATTATTGGCAATTAATAACATATTTTTCTGGAATTTATATAAGAAAAAGCATTTGGATAAGGAAGGATTTTAAATAAT